GTGATGCTCGCTTATTTCAATTGATTATTAACTTGTTTTAATTAATTCTATCAAGTTAAAATAAAAATCCGCAACCTATAATTATAAAAAACTTCTCAGTTTAGAGCAAATATGTTTAGTCCGCAAGAGAAATTTTTTCTTTTAAAAAGGTCGCAGCTTGGATTCAAAATAATGTTGGATTTTGTTGAGATTGACAGTTAGAAAATATTAATGAACCTTGTTTTTAGTATAATTTGTTAACGGAAAATTAAAGGAACTCCCTTTAATGTATTACCTTAAATGTAAATAATGTTTTAATATACCTTACCCAAAATTATACCGAACAAAACAACTATTACTAGTTGTTTGGTCTCGTGTTAGGTAGAGGATGTTGTTTTCGCCGTTTTTTATTTTCTCGATTGTTTCTCTCTCTATAGCTATATATTTCAACCTCTAACACACTAACTGATTGGGCATCGATAAATTAAATGAAACGTGTAATTTATTGAATAACTGCCAGACATCTATCACCTCTTTCGCTTTCTCTCTCAATCTGCCTTTAAAATATTATTGATTTAATTTATCATGTCTGTACATAAATTCAGTCCGCAATTAAAAAAATTTTGCGGAGAACAAACTGATTTATTTTAAATTCCGCACCTGTAATGAGTAGCTCGGACACTATAAATTTGTAATAATTTGTAATAAAAGCCTTTGAAAAATTATTTTTGACAAAATTTGCCAAGAATTTCCGAATTTCACTGTAATTTTGCTTCTTTGTTGAGGGATTAGAAGATTACTAGGGTTTAACTGTACGAGAGATTAGTAGTAAGGGTATTGATATCGAGTGATAAAATTTGTATTAACGATAAAGGGTTTGGGGTAAAGAAGGATTAAAGTTTATTAGGGCATTTCGGATCAAGAGATAAAATTGAATCTCCAGGTTTTCAAGTTACTAATATAAACCTACGCCTATTGATCCCTTGATATCTCGAAGTCTGGAAAAATATTGAAATTAGGAAATATATAAAAGAATGAAGAGATACGTAATGTTACGGTTCGTTATTTAAGATAAAAATATGTACAATTATATTATTTATTTAGCTGCAATCTCCTTTCCATTTCTTTTGAGTTGAATTACAAAAAGCTAATAGAATTAATTTAATAATAATAATATCTTTTAACATTTCATAAAATAATAATTTAATTTTAATAATATATTTTATTATTTTATCAATTAAAAAAGTGATACAATTTGCCGAAAACTCATTAATCTAACTACATATTTTCAACAACGAACCCAGCCACAACATTAATAATTCATAATATGTAGTCAAACTGAAGGACGAGAAAATATGTTAAAACAATTTCAAGGCTTTTGAATAATCCTCCACACCCATCTCATAGTTGTCCTCAATGCGTACAGAGTTAATAAATGAGAAAGAATCAGGTTTTTAATATTTTTAAATCCATTCGTAAATATTTAATTTGAGAAAAAATACAAAAATATTTAGATGAATCAGTTTTTATAATATCAATCGATAAAAAAATGCTAAATATAATTTGATAAAAACTAAAAGATTATTAGTAAATTTAAACCTCTGAGTTTTTTTCAGAAAAGGGGATCAGTTTATGAAAGCTCGAATTTTTAGAAATTTTTATCAAAAATAGAAATGAATTAGAGCGTAATCCCCAAAAAATATAAAGTGTTAATATTTCTTTAATTAGTAGCATCTCTGTTAATAAATATAAAAAGTACAGGTCTAAAGTGTCAAATGTCATTTATTCTTGTGGATCCAAAGTATCCTTACAATTTTTATCAAAATAGAAATGAATTAGAGCGTAATCCCCAAAAAATATAAAGTGTTAATATTTATTCATTTCTATATTTTGGTTTCTAAAAAATGTTTGAAAAAAAATTTTATCATTCAGATGATTATCCCTGCTTTGACTAAGGTTGTCTATTTCAGCATTTATTGTATTTATATTTATTTACTTGTGTGGTTTTGATTTAAATAATTATTTTAATGGGTAGTAATTTATAAGTTTTAGTAATATTTCTTATTATTTTGAGGAAATAATTGTTTATTAAATTCCTTGTTATAATGTTCTTGTTAATTGTCTCCATGTTTTTGCTTTTCAATATTTGATTTTCTTAAATTTATATCTCTAATGATCTTATTACTTTCAATTATTTCTTTAACAATGTCTTGGAGAGATTTTTCAGGCGGTTGACCTTCTTAATTTAAAAATTTCTGCTGATTTAAAAGTTTACTAAGAATTTTTTGCACTTATCTAGTTTATTAATTTAATAAAGTAATAAAAGACCTCTAGACAGCTTCCAGTCTTCCTTAAGTCGTTCTGAAGCAAGTGCTTCAAGTTGACAAAGTTTTGGATCCTGTCGAAACATATCAAGTGTATCTAAATTTAAAAATACTACATATTATTGTATTTTTTCTCTATTTCTTCTAGAAGGTGATATGTTAGAACATATAGTATGCCTCTGTCATCTTATACAATATCGTTAAAATATTTAAAAAATTCACTCGAGTTTTTTGTCTAGAAAGTTTGTTGATTTTTTTTGAAAAATAATTAAGGGAACCCGATATTATATTAATATTATAGATATAGATACAATCATTATTATAGTTAGAGTAGCACGATTTCGAGGCTCAATGTGGCCGAGAACCTCATCGATTTTTCATCCTCGATTTTGATTTTTCTGATTTCGGGCCTCGGACCTCGTCTCGGTCCTTGCCAAGAACCTCTCTGAGGAACGAGGCTAAATGTACACACTCTAATAGTTGACTATTTTGTCCCATCCACATCAATCTGGCTTTTTAAGCAAAGATGAAACTCGGCCTCGGGTTTTTCAAAAAAAACACGACCTCGTGCTACACTAATTATAATACAATATTTATAGCCAATCATGTACAGACCTGCAATTTTCTTTCCTTTTCCCCCAACAAATCCTGAACAATTGTTGAGCTCATTTATTGTATCTTTTAATTGATCTTCATATCTTTTTAAATAAGCATTATGTTTAGGGTTGCCAAAATGGACCGACTCGGACCGAAAGATCGAGTCATGCCTCGATGTTTGGCCCGAAAAAGTCTCGTACCGGCCCGACTCGATAAATTTGGGCCCGAAAAAGACTCGTAACGGCCCGACTCGATAAAGTTAGGCCCGAAAGTGACTCGTACCGGCCCGACTCGATAAAAACAGGCCCGAAAAAAATTGTCTCGGAAAAAGTCGGCCCGACTCGAACGAGACTCGATAATATTTTTACCAGATTTGTGGACAAAAATGGATGAAATCTGGCTCCTTGGCCTTCCAAAATTCGAAAAATTTTCGCCTGCGGCGCTGAAAAAGGAAGAAGTTTGGTCCTTAGCCTTCCGAATATCTCAAAATTTTTGCCTGCGGCGCTGAAATGAAGGATTTTTAGCTCCATACTTTGCTTCACATCTCGAACGTACTGGCTTTAATTGATAAGCTGCATTACTGGGATTTATGGGATATATTCCGCGGGATCCCGTCATAATTTGAACTTTTGAAACTCAATCAGTTTTGAGAGTCCAAAATTTTCCGCAGTCCGCAATTTTAACTTTAAAATACGCAGTCGAAATCTTCGGTCACAAGTATTCCATTTATAGCGCCGCAGGCGAAAATGGTCGAAAAAAAACTTTTTCGACCATTCTTCTACTGATTTTTCCCCCTTTCCCCTATTTCGGGGGGGGGGCTCTAGCAGCCCCACTGGACACGCCCTTGGATATCCCTTCAAATCTTCTCATTCCTTCTAAATCCCATTACAATATATCACCTTAATCATCTGATATACGATCCTGAACCCCTTAATCATCTGATCTCCTTTAATAAAACCAAATCTAGCAATATCTCACCCCAAATCTCCGATAATTTAAATCCCCTTAATCCCTCAAATTCACTGATATTCATTTCAATTCTCTTCAGCCCTTCCTTTACCCTCCTGATCCATCGATATACCTTTTAATTCACAGATATCCCTCCAAATCCACTAATTATTTTTAAATAAATCTTTTAAAAAAAGACTCGAAAATGTCTCGGTGCCCGACTCGATAAAGTCAGGCCCGAAAGTGACTCGTACCGGCCCGACTCGATAAATTTAGGCCCGAAAAAGACTCGTACCGGCCCGACTCGATAAAGTTAGGCCCGAAAAAGACTCGTACCGGCCCGACTCGATAAAAACAAGCCCGAAAAAAAATGCCTCGACCGTCGGCCCGACTCGAAAACGGCAACCCTAATTATGTTGTTCAATTTCTTTTATGAAATTTTCAATTTTTTTAATTTTTCCTTCATCAAACTCATCAAAAGTTTTTAAATTTTCATTTTCTAAAAATTTATTTTTGTAATCTTCAAATTTATTCATCGCTTCCTTGCAATTGATCACCTGATTTGTTGCACTATTTATCAATTCTTTATAGCAATTTTCTTAAATAGCATTTATTATTATCAGGGAATGTAAAGTTGGGCCCAACTTAAATCTGCGTCAAAATTAAACTTTTTTTTAAATATTTTACCATTCTGGTTTTTATTATCTTTTGTCAAATCTACCAAAATTTGTGCATTAGATTTATCTAAAATTTGAACAGTTTTTTGTATATCTGGACGATAATAAATTATTTCCTTTCCTTTCCGTTTATTTTTTGTTTGAAATTCTGGATACATTCTTTTATAACCCTCCCATTGTTGAATAATTATTCTTTCATTAATCTCTATCGGGTTTTCCATATTAAGGTTACAGAATGCAATAAAATTAGTTGATGGATTGCTTGATTCATTATTTTGAACTTTTTGTACATTAATCAAGTAAAGGTTTTCTACGTATTTTTCAAATAAAACTTCATCACATTCAAACGGGATTGATAAAGGCTGAATTGAATTTTTATTTTATATAAAGTTATGATTAGAAAATGATCATCGAAACTTTCATCTTAATGAAATTTTTTAATTTGGTTACACTTGGAAGGGAAGGTATGTATTAAATACGCACATGTAACATTTTTGTGAACACTCTTAAGGGATAACGCAATTTTAGTTTTAATTTATTAGTTTTATATTTCCGGCAAAGAGGTTGTTGTAAAATCGAAGTCAAGCTTCTAATATTATTTTAAACAATTTATTTTTCTTAAATAATGAAAGCTGCTTTATGAAAAAAATCCCAACACCCTTAAGAAATGGTCAACCCAATCTATAACTTTCTTGGTTCGAGATTGAAGTTTGGATTCTCATTTTTAATCCACCAAAAACCTACAATATCGAATTCATTTTCCTCTACTTTAAGCAAATATTTATCATTCGGACAAATTCTCTGATCAAAATATATAGTTGAATAATAATCATCATATTCCTCTAAATGAAAAACAAATTCTTTCTTCTCGCATAAAATACTCATTTTTAGGTTTTTTTGAAATTTATTAATTAAAAATTTTAACACCCTTTTTGGCCTTTCAAGGTCCAATGCTTTTACATTTGAAAATTGCTTTTCTTCAAATGACGGATTGTTTTTTAATTGGATTATCACAATTTTGTCAACTGCACTAATTTGCACTGGGTCGATTATTAACTAGAATTTTATTTAAATTTAATAAATTAAATATTTAAGGATTGGAGGATGATCCATTAAAACGCTAAAGGGATTGATTTGAACTTAGGGTTCTTATCGTGGTGACTAGGTAGTACTGCCGTTTCTTGCGAAATTATTCGGATATCTGGATTCGAACTAGTATTCTAACCGATAATTTCGGCTGAATTATGTTGATTTTTATTTCAGGAATGTCTTAGCCTGGCAGATACATATAAATATTGGGGCTTTAAAAATAATATTTAAATAATTCCAACCATTTTATTCCACCAAACTTTAATCAAATAAATATTATTTTGAAGGGATAAAGCTTTTCCTCCATCTGTAGATAATTCATTTTCATCAAACTTACAAACATCGTATTTTTCAGTCATTTTAATGTAAAAATTATGTTTGGGTAAATATTCATTATTATTAATTTTTTTGAAAGGAAAAAGTCCTACTTCAAATCTATGATTTTTCAATTGTATTAAATTATCAAATATTTCAGGAGTCAAATCTTCTTTGAATTTTCTCCATTCAATTTTAATTAATAAATTAAATAAAGCATTATGGACAAATTCAAACTTTATGATTATTAATAGGAAAATAACCAATTTCATCCTTTTATTTCCCTAAAAATCGAAACTAATTTCAAACATTTATAAGGGTTGTCAACACTCGAATTTTATTATTTCGGGCTTGATTTTTATTTCAGGGAAGTCTTAGGCTGGCAGATATGATACATGAAAGACCATTGTCTTTGGAAAAATGAGCACGATTTAGCTTCGATTCATGGCAACACTTTTAGAAGTCTGTTATAATGTAGTTAAACAGTCCACTCACTCGCATAACTAAAATGAAAAGACAATCTGATCTAACTTGTTTGTATAGGTAAACAAGTTACTGTGTAACAATTATGTAACTATCTAGTTCTACGGTAGAATAATTAAAAGCCATTGTGTATGATTTAATTACATTAGAAAGCTTAAGAATAATCGGGAAAATTCATTTAACTAAATAGTGAAAATAAAAGTTATTTCATTATAAAGTCAAACAAAGTGCAACCATGTGAATTAATATTGCACTCGTTTTAATTAAGAAATATTATTTTTGTCTGGGAAAATCAAAAGGGTGAATTATTAAATAAATATTTTGAATTAATGCACTTATGAAATAAATATTGCGACATCCCATGTTATCAAAAAATTATAAGATCAACCTGAATATTAATAGATTAGTAATATTATTGTTAACGTAAATACTGAAATAAACTCTGGCAGAGGATAATTAATAAGAAGTTCTAATTATTTAAGCGTTCAAAAATTTCAGTCCGTTAGTGTCCTTAATTCTAGATTTCACACTCTATGTAAATTTATGTTAACAAAATATTGTCAATATATTCCAACAAAGTTAAGTATGTTTATATCAAAATCCTTCATTAAACTAAACAAAATTCTATGTGAAATATTAAAGTTAAATTGCTTTCATCCTCAACTAAATAAAACTTAATTATAAAATTGTTTTTAGATTAATTCTCACAAGAGAACATCCTCCACTTTAGCTAATAATTTGATATTTTTTGGTGTTATTCGAAAGAGGCGACACCTGTGGGAATATTTTAAAACAAATCTTTGGGATCCCCGAGCTAAATCGAATGTTCTGATGATCGAATCGTAACAATGTTATGATGACATAAGATAATTTTCGAAATAATTTTGATATGAAATTTAAGAAAAATTAAAATATTAATTCGATTTCAACTTTTTCTTTAATTTTATTAAAAATTATATTTTTATATAACCTTTCAAAAATAGAATAAATGTTTTATTATCCTTTTAACTCTTTTTCCATAATATACATATGTATGTAAATGGATAAACTAAGAAACAAATACAAACTTTCCAGTTAATTTCTAAAACAGATAAAATTTTCAACATTAAATACATAAATTTAAATCAATTTTTTAATTGCGAGACGCTATGGCGAGACGCTATTTAATTGCGAGACACTATGGCAATGAAAAAATCGATGGCACATGCTTCTGATTGGCAATTAACCTTCAATTTTCTTTCATTCCTCCAATTTTCTTTCATTCCTCCATAAATATTTAAAAAAATAATCGTCATGGGAAATGCAAAAAGACCATGTACATCGATTAGTACGGACAGTGAAATTGATAAAACACCACTTTTATCAACTGAATGAACAACTTGAACAAATTTCTCGCAATGTTGTTCAACTTCTGACACCATTAATTGAAACTACAATTAAAACCTTATTTGAACAATTACATCAAAAATTCAGCAACAATCTTCCATCCCAAAACCCACAACCAATATCTCAGTGGGGTTGCCCCCCGAATCTAATGCCAACAAAAATTCGTCAGGAAGCAGAAACAATCCAACAACTTCAACAGCCCAAATTCGATGAAAAACTTAAGGAGTTGTATGAAAAGAAGAGCTACTATGCAGTTATCGAAAGATTCCCTGAAATAGATAATGAAGAAGAAGATATTAAGGTTATCGAGAAGAATGTTAATGCTGTTGTGAACAACAAAAACTTCCAAGATAATAAAACATTCGAAGTAAAAAGACATGGAGCCAAAAAACAAAACAACTTTCACCGCATCATCAAAGTTAAATTTTCAACACCTTCTGCTGCACACTCTTTTATTAATCAATACAGAAATATCCATCAACCTAAATTGGGTGGGCATAGTCCCTTCGCAAGAAGGGACTTAACCCCACCTGAACTACAGCTGCAAAACTATTTGAAACAGCAAGTGAGGGAAATTAATCAGAAACATGGAAATGGAACTGCTTGTTACCGTAATCTTAAAATTCATTTTAAAAAAACAGTGACCATGGGTTAGGATTTAGGGACCTCACAGAAAAATAAAAAAATAAAAAATTTGAAATGCTTACTTTTAAACATTCGCTCCATTAATTCAGAAAAAACTACATATAAATTGGTTGAATTAGAGAATTATCTAATTAAAAATAATATCGACATAGCATTTTTATGCGAGACATGGCTAAGCGATAAAATATCCGATAAAACCCTTTTGCTATCGGATAATTATAACTTTCTAAGGATAGATAGAATTACTAGAGGGGGAGGCGTAGGCGCATTTTACAAAAAGGAACTAAAAATTGTTAAAATTCCTACTCTATCAATGTCCCAGTATAATCACGAACTTCTTACCCTTGATATATACTCAGAATTTAAACGAATAAGATTTCACTTAATATATAGGCCTCCAAATACAAAATTAAATGACGATAAAAAAATTTGGGGAGTTATAAAGGAAAAATACAAAAATGAACTTTCACATGTTATATTAGGAGATTTTAACCTTCCAAAAATAAATTGGCAGGAGTCCGCACTTCCAAAAGATAAACAGAGTTTATATTATTACAATACCATAAATAAGTTAGACTTACACCAAATAATAAAGGAGCCTACAATGTACAATAATAACCATACACTGGACTTAATCCTCCAGAATAAACAATTAATTGAAAAATATAATATAATTAATGATCTAGTTGTAAGTGACCACAAACCAATATCATTTGAAGTAATTTTTCCAATAGAAAAAGTAAAATCTAAAGAGAAAAGAAAAGTATTAATATTTAAGAAGGGAAAATATAAAACAATTAATTGGTATTTAGCTCAATACGATTGGTCCAATTTATTTAATAACAAAAATCCGTCAGAAATGGCCGAAATGCTAAATCTTATAATAACACAAACAATTCAAAAATTCATCCCATTTAAGAAATTCGGTAAAAAAAAACCCTTGAAATATCCTAAAGAGATTAGAGATACCATTAAACAAAAGGCTTTGGCATGGAAAAAGTTTAAATTAGGCGAGATCAATAAAGACAATTATAAAAGTCTTGAAATTAAATGTAAATTAGAAATAGAAAAATATAAAAACAAACATATATCTAAAAAGATAGGATCAGGGCATATAGGGGAGATATATAAATTGGTGAAAAGAAACAAATTTAATTCTGGGATACCAATACTTAAGGAATCTGAGGAAAGTGACCCAATATTCTTAGACACTGACAAAGCTAAAAAATTTAAAACAATTTTTGAAGAAATAGTTAGCGGAGATATAAACTATAAACAAATAATCATCGAAGCTGGTGATGAAAATCATAAAGAAATTATATTTGAACCATATATAATAGAAAAATTACTCAAGAAGCTCCCAAATAAATTATCCCATAGTCCTGAGAATATCAATCAATATTTCCTAAAAAAATGTGCTACCCCATTAGCTCTTCCTCTATCAATTCTATATAACAATACATTTAATACCGGAATAGTCCCTGAATTATGGAAAACAGCACACATTATACCGATATTTAAAAAGAAGGGTTCAGTAAACGACCCAAAAAATTATAGACCAATTGCATTAACATCTCCAGTTTGTAGAGTTTTTGAGCGCTTGCTAGCGAATAAGCTATTAGAACACCTTAACAAACATAAAATAATCGCTGAAGAGCAATTTGGGTTCTTACCCAAAAGCTCGTGTACACTCCAAATTTTATCATCTATGCAAGACTGGTTCAACTCACTTGATAGAAAAATAGGTACAGACGTCATATATTTTGATTTTCAAAAAGCATTTGATAAAGTAGATCATGAAATACTTATTAGAAAATTACAAGAAATTAAAATAGATAGGTTAACAATTAGATGGGTAGCAAATTTCCTAAATAATCGATCTCATATTGTAAAAATAGATGAGAATTACTCTGAACCATTTTTGCCTAAAACAGGTGTCCCCCAAGGGACTGTCCTGGGACCATTGCTGTTTTTGATATATATAAATGACCTGCCCAGCCACATTCCAAAAAATATTAAAGTAAAATTATATGCAGACGATTT